GGTTAGTGTTTTCCTGTATTTCAGTTGCTCCGGAAAGAGCGAATTTCTTTGTGTGATGGTATCATGACTTTAAAAAGCTATACCAAATCAACTGATGGGTTTGTTCATCGTTGTGCTACATGTTTGAAGCTTTTTTTTCTATAAATATATATTTCCATTCATCATATGTGCCTCTTCAATGTGATTGGTCCGTTCAAGGTCGTTTGCTGATTGGTTGTTAGTGGTGTCTAAAGTTTAACTTTGCCTATTATTGTTCCCTTGGGTTCCTAGTGGAACATAGAGCTTCAACTACACGTCTCCACTTGCCACTTCTGTCTTCTGCTCTACTTTTCACCTACATTCATGCTAATCCATACTGACTGTTTCAACTCCGCTTCACACAATCTCCTCCATGTCACCCTCGTATCGACGTCCCACTTCACATTCCGTCAGGTTCCACTCGAGCAATGGCCTGACGCGCACACGATGTCACCCACCGGCCTCCTCATCGACCGAGTGTTCAATCCATCTCCACCTTCGATTGCATATTTTTTGGCAATGAATTCTTGTTTTGTTTGTTCCCATAGTTTGGTTGGTTGTTGGTGATTCTTTCCGGTCCGGCCATCTGATTGATCTTCAGTATACATCCAGCGAAGACAGTTGTTGGTTGATAAAGGTCTGAAACAGGCTGTTGGAAATATTCTTTGTGACCCACCCACAAAGTTTCTGATCCGTATAGAAGAACTGACTGACTCGACGTTGTTTGTATTGAAAATCCGACTGAATTTTGTTGTTGATGCTGAGTTGAGTGACGAAGATTTCCAGATTGGTTTCAGGTTGGTTGATGAGTGAATGTGTTTCTCGCCTTCCCGATAAACAGTGATATGAAAGAACAATAGGGCTTTTTGGGATATTATAAATCACAAACAGTGAATACACCCACAACAGCCATTGATTGACAAGGATGATTTCAAGCCATATTATCAATTGTCTCCAACTACCAATGGTTCTTATCATCCTAAGGACACCAACAAGCCAGTCAGAGAGTCTACAACACCACCCGACATCACTGGCTGGTACTTAAACTAACTCTCTTTTTTTGATTTCATTGACTGATGAAACCATGTTTTCGTTTGATCACCCACTAGAGCTACCTAAATCTTTTCCAACCTCATTCATCCTATTGATATAAGTATAAAACTTGGCCACTGTGATGGTAGAGTATAACTCCATTATAGATAAGATTTTATTTTGATATATCATACAGTGTTGTACAGTTATATTAACTGATGACGTTTCGAGCACAAACTATCGCCAGTCATAATCATATCAAGTTACTCACTCACTCACACACCTTTCTTCCTTCATTTATATACATCAGTGAAAGCTGATGATTAGACATTTGAATAAAAATCAATCAATATGAGATAATGTACATTCAGAAATAATGATATGCGTGTTATCAATCAAATACCATCAGATGGGAAATAAGACGAGTGTTTTTACAGTCGAAATAAGTAACTTGTTAAAATGTTATAATGTAGGTGAATTGAAATAGAATTTTAAGATTGTATTTTTAGCCTCCTCTGATTTGACTGACTGGGGGGAATAATATCTTCCATCCATATTTCTGGTATTTGCTTTGAGTCATTTCTGTTGCATGTGTTGGGTGTAGACTCGATGAATCAGGATTCACAAAGTAACCAATCTCTCTCTCCACCTACATAGATTACTTCTTAGCATTTTAATCCTCTCCCACCCCCATACTCTGTAGTTGTGTGTTAATGCATGCAGTGCCATTGCTGAGCTTTTCTCTAAATTACTCATCTGTCTTCGCGGGGTCAACGATTCTTCCCTTAACTAAATTCTTATGTTCTGATAATCTCACTACCCCCAACCTACTAGTTTGACCAATGTAGTTGACTGATTTAACTCACAGTCATTGCAAGGTATTTTGTAAATTATATTATTTTGTTTAATTGGGTCCACCCGGTCTTTTAGCCTCCAGAGCTTGTCCCTGTCTCAGTGAGTTTGTAGGTTGGAATGCCACCCTAATTCATGCTTTATTGAGAATCCTATATAGGGTCTCAGATTTCCCCTCCTTATATGGCATAACAGCAGGAAGGCTTCGTGTGCTTCAGGAAGTGTGTGGGCGGTTGTTACCTCCCGGCTGACCACACCACTGTGGAAGTTGCTTGATTCTCCGGGTATCTGGAACACAAACAGGGTTAGTTTTGCGTGACCACAAAGCCAAGGGGACAACTGCTTGAGGTCAACCGGTCACACACGGCTTGTATGAACTGGTTTCTTGGTTTGGTTCCGTATTAGTAAACTTACCGCTGTAGGGTAAGTCGGAATGTACATTTTTTTGGATCGACCATTTTCTAACCCCCTCTATCTCTCCAGAGTGGAGAGACAGCATAGCTGGCCGGCAGGCTGGTCATCTCAGGGAAACACACCTCACTGCTGTTACAAACCTGTTCCCCAGCAGTACGACTCTGCCCACAGATCCCCAACATAGTTCCAGTAACTGCTTTTAGTCTAATTGCTATCCTAACAACCTTCCTGGCATAGGAGAACCTGCAGGAAAATTGGTTCCAGCCAGTGTAGCCCGTTGGGTAATCGCGATGTACAAGCACGGCGATCACCACGTCAAAGTAGGTAGCAAGGTAGATGCTTTATCATCCATCCTATATCAATCAACTAGTAATCCCCGTCATTGAGGAAGCCTAGGCTAACTATATTATAGTGTCCAATCAAAGTATCCGATACAGTCCTACATGAGACAGTCAGTCAGTCACTACACCGAATAGCTGCTCAGTGTTAACATCTCTGCCTGACTGCAGGCGGAAGCACTGAATGCTGACGACAGTTTTGAATCCGGCAAAGTTGAACTTTAAGCTCCTCCACTATCTACCAATCAGCGAACGACCTTCAACGAACCAATCACATGAAAGAGGTGTTTTTGGTTATGGAAAACATATATTTGTCGAAAAAAAATTCCATGAAAATGTTCCATAGCATACTTTTCTCTGACATGTGGTGAACACATCTTCAACTCGAGCATAGGAGTATCAATTGGAATGTTGCACCACATTCCATACATCTAAATGGCTGTAAATGACATCACTTTAAGATCCATTAGTGGTCTTAATCCTGTTTTTAATCTTCCCTAAAAGCCTTCTATAGAACTGATGTGTCTCATCCTGTAACGCGATCCACATTAGAATGGTTTGCTCTGTGTTGAATATATCTAGGGATTACAGGTAGTTATGACCTCACCACTCATCCACGTGTAGGGTGACACCTCCTTCTCCTTGTCCTAATAACGAAGTTATTCTCTCCATCTTCCATGACGCGATATCTTTGTAGTGCTGGTGCCCCTGAGCCGCGGACAGGAGACTATTTTCTCTGTTTCAGCACCTACATCTGTCACAGGCTGTTTTAAAACCAAGTAACTACAAATATACAAAATCTGAGTTAAGGATATTTGAGACCTACCAAGAAATGTTCCTACGAAATATTAGAATCATCAGCTTACCTCCCCTGATACTTGACTTAAATTAAGCTGAATAGAACCTTCAACCCACGTGGATGAAATTCATTAGGACAATCAAGGTCTTTCGCTGATTAGTAGTTGGTGGTGCTAAAAGTTTAACTTGACCTCGAATCTCAAAAGAGACATGAGTTAGCGATGGCAGTGGTGGTGATAAGTGTCAACTAGGCCGAAACCTAGGAAATGTTCCCAGAGCAAAGCTTCCCTACGAATCGCCTTCTTTTCAACCATCTCACTTTTTATAACATCTCAGTTAAAAATCATTAAAAATAAGTCACACTCTTTGCAATTAATAGTGTTCTCTGAGCTGGTTGGTTTAGTTGCGGAGCTTTCGTCGTCTTTCTGGACGACATATTCAACCCAGTATTTGAGATAAAGCATTATATACTTCAATTAGTTCAAAACTAGCAACAGAAACTATGCAACAATATGCAAATCTATAGTGATGAAAACATAAAAACGCAATGTTCAACTTGGATAGAACTCATAAAATTATGCCTTACTACATACTTCCTATTCAATACTCAAATATATGAGCAGATAAAAGGAACACCAATGGGATCATCTCTCATATCAGGATTAATAGCTGAAGCCGTGATGCAAAGATTAGAATTAATAGCCACCCTACCTATAATTAAACCGAAAATCCGGATGGGTACGTCACGTTGATGATGCATTTGTAATAATTAGGAGAAATGATTTAGAATATACCCATAAATTAATAAACAACATATTTGAAGACATCGAATTCACCAGGAGAGAAGAAGAATTAGATAACAAAATCCCACTTTTTGATGTCTTAATCAGGAGAACTAACACAGGGAATTTAGAAACACAAGTGTATAGAAAATCAACGCACACATACACAGATCAAATACTCAACTATACTAGCAATAATCCAATTACTCACTCACAAAAGAAACTATGTGCAGACATTGTTTAAAAGAGAGTTCAAGCACACTGTAGCACTCCTGCGTTGAAAAGAATGGAAGAAAAATACCTAAAAACGGTCTTCAAAAAGAAGAATGGTTATCCACAAAATTTCATCAAAAAGTGTTTAAAGTCGAATCAAAACACCAACAAAGAACCATCATCAAAGACCAAAAAGAAATTCATCCTACCATACATGAAAAATATCTCTGAAATAACAGCTCGAATACTGAAACCGTTTGATATAGATATAGCACACAAGCCAGCCAGTCAAATCGCTTAATTCGATCTTATGCAAACCAAAAGATCAGATCAACAGGAAAAGGAGATAAAATTAAGACCATTTACAAAATAAATTGTATGAACTGTAACAAACATTACATCGGCTAAAGTGGACGTCCCCTCAGAATCAGAATCCAAGAACACAAATCAGCCGTGAAAAGACATGATATCCATATTCTTTCATATCAATGCATATAGACAATTATGGACACCAATTTGATAGGGATAATGTCGAATCTGTAAACACAGGGAACACCAAAAGTGCAGTCAGGGAATTCCTAGAAGTCTGGTACTCAAACGAATCAGCCAGTGATTAACAAACACGTTAACATATAGACCAAATATACCAACTAATAAAGAGTAAATCAGGTAACTAGAAAGTTTAAACTCCAAGTCAATAGAAAATGAATGATCAATACAGATGTAAAAATGGTTACCAGGAGACGCAATTCTATATCACTCATGAAGAAAAATTTAAATCATTTCACTTTATCCTAAATACTTCACTGAATGGGGATGTTGTCCAGCAGCGGGGGAGGGGGGACGACGACGACCAAAGCTCCGCAACCAAAACCAATCAGCTCAGAGAACACTATACTAATTGCAAATTATCCATCCACCTGAGTTACAAATCTTTTCAAAGTCAAACTCTTCACAAAACAAACAAAAAAGAGCGCAACATACAATGATGTTTGGTGTTTTTTTTCTTAATTCGCTAAAAAGAGAGAGAGTTAAACAGACGACTGGTGTATTTTACACCAGTCAACCAAAACAAACAGAGAACAGTACACAGTACAGAGTTGATTGTAATGTGAAAAATCCAATGGAAAATTATAATGATGAATTATTTATTAATTAATAATACAGCGCACTCAGCAGATTTGTCACAGTACAGTAGAGTAAGAAAAATAAGTTCATAAAAGAGGGGGAAAAACTTGTAATTATCACTAATATCACTATTATTATTTACAGTCATTGAATAGTAAAAATGTAGTTAAAAAATGTAATTAATTGTCAAACTTATTATTATTATTGATTTACTGAAGATGTACAAGATATTGATGAATCGACTAGACATCTACCTCTACAGCTGCTAAAAATACTACATATATATTCATTGGTTACCGTTTAAGGCCACTTTATGGTGTTTTTTATATAAATAGATTTACACACACACACACACACACAGAGATAAAGCTGGCTGACGAAGGCCAAAAAAAGAAAAAATCAGACTCATCTATCCAAGAGAGAGGCAAAATAAAAATAGCCGTGAAATGTATTCACAACAATGAGAAGAAAAAAATTGGTAAAGCGAGAGAGAGAGAGGAAACAACTAACCAACGTCTCCTAAGTACATTATTTACATTCACAGAAAAAAATGGAAGACAGTGGGGCAAAGAAAAACATCCTCTTCTCCTTCGACAAATGTAGCCTACTGATTTGATGATAACTGTGAAGATATCGATGCAGCAGTAGGAGTAGCCGCTGCACGTGAAGGTGAAATAGTACCAAATCCAAACCATTTCCATGTAGACACTTGTGAGGCATGACTGCTGTTTTTGACACGATCTTTCTGTTGTTGGTGTTGCTCTGCTTTCATACGAGCTTTCTCTAGCTTAGCTAATCGTTTCTGTTGAGAGATTTCAGCTTTTCTTGCTTTGAAATTAGAAAATGATTTAAATATCGAGGGGAGTTTATTATTAGATGATGGTGATGATGAAGGAGTTTTCATTACTGTCGGTGAACGAGGTAATGTCATGACAGCATTGGATAATAACTGACTCTGTCTCACGGTTGTTTTCTGCCGAAGTGTTGATTCTGGAGATGAACATGAATCTGGTGAAGGTGATGCATGAAAGAAATTCAACGGTTCACCACCGCCACCAGCACCACCACCTAGTGTGGAGAGAAAAGGAGAAAAAGAGAAACACATCATGGATATGAATATATGTGTGTAAAACTTGGGCACTGTGGTGGTAGTAAGTAATTCCATATTAGTTTGTTTATTAGATGTATCACATAGTCAGTGAAACAGGATTACTGTTTACTGGATGACAAAGTTTCGAACAAAATTTATTTATTGTGCATAATCATCATTTCATCAACTATAATCGCGCGACTTGGAAACTTGAGTTTTATAGTTTTCTTTGTCCTCTCCTATTTGTCGTCGTTGGGGTAGTAGAATTTTCCAGATATCTGGGTGAACAGGTGTTGAATCATTCCTACTACACGTATTCACTCTCAGTTGATTCGATAAACAAAGCTTCTGTTATCAATCTCTCCCTTCACCCTGCTAGTTGTATTAGATTTTAAAACTATCATCCTATCCCATCCATCCTTCTGTATGGTTGTGTGTAACTGCATGTAGTGAGTGGTATAGCTGAACTATTCTCTAGATTCCTTATCTTATTCGAATCAACCAATCTAGATTTCGCTGCTAGGTTTCTATGTTCGGCTAGTCTGACTTACTGCCCCTGTTCTACTAGTTTGACCTATGTATTTGACCTGACAATCATTCCCGTAGGATATCAGATAAACTAAATTGTTTTATTTTATTTAAAGGCTCCACAGGATTGATCGTTTAACCGACAAAGTTTGTTTCTGATTGAGTTTGTGGTTGGTTTGAATGCCGGCCAGTTTTATTCCTGCTTGCCTTCTTAAGAATTTTGCGTAAGGTTTCCGAGGTTCCTTCCTTGTATGGAATTACTACTGATGATTTAGATTCCTTATTGTTGGTGTCGTCATTAATAATAATATTATTATTATTATCACTTTTATTATTATCATTATCGCTACTATCGTAATAATGATAATAAATAAACCAATCTAGATTGACCCGAATAAGATGAGAAATCTAGAGAATAGTTCAGCTATACCACTCACTACATGCAGTTACACACAACCATACAATAGGATGGATGCGATAGGATGACAGTTTTAAAATTTAATACAACTAGCAGGGTGAAGGGAGAGATTGATAACAGAAGCTTTATTTATCAAATCAACTGAAGAGAATACATGTAATAGGAATGATTCAACACCTGTCCAGTCGGAAATCTGGAAAATTCTACTACCCCAACGACGACAAATAAGAGAGGACAAAGAAAACTATAAAACTCAAGTTTCCAAGTCGCGTGATTATAATTGATGAAATGATGATTATGCACAATAAATAAATTTTGTTCGAAACTTTGTCATCCAGTAAACGGTAATCCTGTTTCACTGACTATGTGATACATCTAATAAACAAACTGATATGAAATCATGAATATGATTCAGTAACATGTATATTATCTATCGTGGTGCAAAAAGTGAATATTCATGTGCAACTGAATTAAAATTGCAATAATAATTGGTTTGTAAGGATTAGATTTGCTTTTGTTTATTTCGAGTTTGACCACGGATTGATATCAGTTAGAGGACCATTGAAAACCAGCCATAGAGAGTACTTCTAGACAAAACCAGCTGTTTCATCAGCCTAGTTTGCGAATCATCTGGCCGGCAGTACGCACCTACACTGCAGAGTTCGGACCTTAGACCTCCGGATTACAAGGCAACCACTGGGCCCCACTCGACTCAGTGGCCAGCCTATGAATCCGAACTTCTCAGTTCGAACACTGGCGGTAGGTGGGTGCATACTGCCGATGATTCCCAAATAAAACACTAGGATGAAACACAGCTGGCTGTCCAATAATACTCCCTGAGGCTGGTTTTCAATGGGTTCCCTAACTGATGATGAACTCGTCAGTTTAATTAATTAAAATAAATGGAAATCAGACGTAAGGCTATTCAAAAGTAGTGCGGAGCACTTTTGAGGTTTATAAAAAAAATACGTGAAATAATGTTATATCACCTTGATGTGCTAAAGCAAGCATTAATGCCTCAGAAAAAGGAACAAACAGCAAAAACCATTAGAGAGAGATAAGGAATCATGTTTCGTGTTTGCTAGTGCATTAAGACAAATTGATATTTTTTTAAAAATATAGAATAACAATTTAACGTTTGTGATAGATTTGAAGTGCTGTCATTAAAATAAACTTCGTCGTCAGTTGACTGATGACTAGGTGTACAGAGATGAAGGAATTATATCTATGGAGGGGGGGAGGTGAACCAACATGTAACAAAAAAATCAATACGCACTTCGCCTCCAAAGCCTCAGGATGGTTGGGGGTGGGTGTCTTGCGCTGCGGGTTGGCCACCCCTCCGTACACCTCTTCAAATGCTCCCATATGACCGGGCGTCTTACATAGCCTCTCCTGAGGAAGTCCTACTCACTGCCTTTACGTGGCGGAGGTGTTTTTCACCAAAGTGAGAGGGCAAAAGCAGATGCCCGGAGCTCTTCACCGGGTCGACCGTCCATTGGATGACAGTCTAAGGGAGATGGCTAAACTCTGATTCCAAACCTCCAACGACTGGCGTATGAAGCTCACCGGAGCTCACCGTCAGACGTATGGACAAAGGGCTTATTGGATGCCCTGGATGACTGGCCCCATTCAAAAAGGCGAATGAACCAGACTCCGGTCACCGGCTTCCAATGGATAGTGGACTCCCTACTCCACTCCTACTGCCTTGTAGGTCACACTTGGTTGTGTAAAGGCTAGAGCTGCACTCTCAAACAAAGGCCGAGCGATCCTGGGGACATCACTCGTACCGAATTCCCATGAAACTTCATGAACTCTGAACTCTCTACAACATCAACCAAATTCCAGTACTGGTCCAACAACGTGGCCTTCGGTGGTTTCGCCATGTTCTGCGCCGACCAGATGACGATCTGGTCAAATCAGTTCTAAATCCCTCGCCATTTCCATCTTGGCGATGTCGCAGGGGTGGACAGCTGAAAACATGGCTTGGTACAGTCAAGGCTGATATGGAGTGCCTGGGCTGGGGCTACAAACCGTCTACGGACTCCGTCTGTGGAACAGGAATTGGATAACCCTGTCGCAAAACCTTGCATCAGATCGCCGCGCCTGGGCAGCGATGATTCGAGATGTTCATGAAGCCGGTTCATCCTTCCGTAGGAGATAGCCGAAGTAAAGTAAGTAAAGTAATAAGCACTTCGATCCAATCAATCGATGGGAAAATCTAAAATTCAACTAAATAATTAATATGACCCGTTCCACAAGAGACAGTGGCTCTCGTGGCCCAAGTGGTCTAGTGGATAACGCTTTGTCTGGTGTTTGAAACTATGGGCACTGGGTTCGAGCCTCAGTGGGAACATCATCACTCGCTGAGAAATGCAGGTACATCCAGCTGACGAATCCCAAATAGGATGAAATGCACATTATCCCGGATTCCACTGCTAGTTACCATCCACCAATTAAATATCAATAAAGAAATCATTCACGAAGTATGAAACCCTAAAGGATTAACACTTTTTTTTATATTCCTTTACGTTCCCCCAGTGGAACATAGGGCCTCAAGCTAAAGGCTTCACGTTTCGGTAGCAGTAGTGTTTGTTTATTTTTACCGGATGGGCTTGCTGCTAGCCTCATGTCCAGCCCAACCTTCCCTCTTTACCAGTCTTATTACTGACTTAGCGAGGTAAAGAAGGAGTACGTCGTCGGCCGGGGATCGAACCCCGGATTATATGAGGCGTGGTCGACGAGTATTCTAACGCTGTGCCACCGACGCATTTACACTAATTAGCAATAAAGGGGAAGAACAAGAAGTATAGTAAGTTTACACTTTGAATGTCATAACAAATACAGAATTCGTACTTCCAAGAATCGATTTGCAGAGAGAACCATTGAAAAACTACCTGGAGTATTGGACAGCCAGCGTGTTTTGTCAGCCTAGCTTACGACTGACTCTTCAGTAGTACACACCCCAAGGACGCATGACCTTCCAGTTACAAGACTAGCAAGCTTGTAGACCATTAAGCTACTGGAACCCAACTGACTGAATGACCAATCCATCAATTCTGACTTCTACCAATTCGTGATCTAAGCGCAATCACCAACCAGCCAATATCATCCGTGGCGAGTATTTGTCTTCACTGCCAACAAGATGGACCCCAGTGGTCACAATTTCTCAATATAGAACTCCAATGAACTCCGTCCTATAGCCAGTTACTAGCGAGCATACTGCCAACGAGTCCCAAACTAGGCTGACAAAACAACTGGCTGACTGTCCAGTACTCCTTGTGGCTGGTTTTCAATGGTTCTCTAACTGATATCAATACATGGTCAAACCTGAATTCATATTTACTATAACCTGTGTACCTGTGGGGCTATTTACAAGTTTTTATATTACACAGAACCCAATCTCTAAAAACTAAAAACGAATTCGAGGTCATTTATCATCGGGCTTTACAATTAGATAGTAAAAATGTCCTTTTTCTATCATTTTTATGAGTTCCAATGTCGATAATTCAAATAACTGCATCTCTTCTTTGAACGACGATTGATATGCATATACGTTTCTTCTGAACGATTTGCGTAAATTTCTCCCTACCTCGTTGTCATCATGGAAACATTCACAAAATAAATTCTCTGGATATCTATTCTTCCCTACGAACGTTTCAATTTTCCTTATTTCATTTTGTCCAAAATATTGGTTGTATCAAGTCATCTAGCACATAACATCAGCTTATTGATGAGAATCACCAACAAGAAACTATGGGAAGAAACAAAACAAGAACCAATCGCCTACCAACAGCAAATATGCAGGAGAAAGTGAAGAGATGGATTGGACACTCGTGGCTGAGGAGGCCGCCACTGGGTGACATCGCGCGCGCGTCAGACCATTGGTGGAGTGGAACTCGAAAGGGAAGCGGTGAGTGGGACGCCGGTGCAAGGGTGACATGGAAGAGATTCTGTGAAGAGGAGCTGAAAGAGTATGGACCAACAACATGGATACAGGTGAAAAGTACAGCAGAAAGAAGACAGAAGCAAATG